TGTGCTCTTCTGATCTTTTTCAGACGTCCAAAAAGACGTCTTAAAAATTTTAGGGCGTCTTTTGGATGTCTTTAAGACGTCAGAATGTTCTCTGGGATATGTTTTACTATGTTTTTCTAAAAATTTAATGACTTGCCCTCGTATTGTATTAATAATCCGTTCTATTTAAGGTCCTCTTAAATACAATCTTAAAAGATGTTATAGGCCACTTTCCGACTTATTGTTAGTCGGTTCTTCAAGTCTTAAGTAATATCTTAAGATATTAAATACGACTCTGTGATTATAATATCTTTTCAAGTAGTAAAATGTCGTCATCGTAACGACGATTTAAGGCTATTTTTATCAATTGAATAAGGATCGTTATTCAATCTTTATTTTGAAATCATATTTAATAAATAAATAATGAATTAACATAAAAACAGATTTGTTTAGTTAACTTTGTGTCTTGAAACATCGTTAAAAATATTTTAATTATATGAAAAATATATTAATTATATGTATACATGTTACTTCTTTTTTGTTACACAATGTAATAAAAAATTATTTCATTCATTTTTTATGCATTCTTAACGATTTAGTAATATTGATATTGAAAAGAATGTATATGTACATATGTGTACATATACATAAATTCCAAACACATTTCTAAAATTCTTCAGCTATACAACAAACATGTTACATCCTTTATTTCTCTATCACATGGCACAGTAAACGGTGGAAGATTAAAAATAAATAAAATAAATTTTCTGTTATAATATTTTTCTATTGCATAATATTTGTGAAATTATGTATAGTTTTGTCGTCATAAAAATCATATAATTGGTCTTATACTTATGAGTTCATTCTTAACGTTTTTTATGATACAATTTTAGTGATATTATTGACTCACAATTCAGATAGCACTGAGTTTGCAGAGAACGTCCATTTTATTAGGAGTACAAATAAGTTTCCGCCGTTTTTTATCAAAAATTTATTGGCATTTATTGCAAAAAAATGGTACCTAATGTTTTATTCAAAGTATTGTCCGTCGCTAGGATGATTTGGCACGAATCTTCGTCCAATAATGCTTCCAATTCGGTGTCTTCGTACATTTTCGGCTTTCTGCTACGTTCTTTGTCTTCGACGTCAAATTCACTGTTCTTAAACTTTTGAAACCATTCACGGCAACTTCTCTCATTTAAGAGGATGATGAAAGGTCGGCCAAATTTATACGAAGTCGATAAAGCAGACGCTTCAGTGTCAGTGGTATCTCTAAATGAACTTCTTACAATATCTTTTGGTCTCATTCAAATACGTGGAATGTCCTTATCTAACTTATTGAAGGCCATCTCTTGAAAAATCCGGCACTTACTGCTAGACGTAATTTTTGCTGTCTTTACGTTAGCTGAGCGTGCGAATTACCATAAATTGCAGTTGGAACGATA